TTAATTTCAAAGCAATATATATATATGTTAGTAAAATAAATGTGTTAATAACATCACGTTAAAAATATTGTTTTGTTATGAAATGAATTTATTTTAAAAACCATCATCTGTACAAGGATTGGTGTGTTTTTAAATTCAGTTTTTATATTTGTCTGGACTTCTGTTTTGTCAAATAAAATCAGTGTTTTGAAATGTTGGTTTTCATGATACTTATTTCCCCTTTATGTGTAATTCTCATACTGCAAAGATAAAAATATCTTTTTTATTAACATAGAAAATCTTATAAACAAAACTCTGAGGCCATCACTATGTTTGCTGATGTAGCTGTTTGACAGCTGTTTGAGGGTTTGTGATTTTTTAAAAAAAACCCACAAAATTTAATTTGCATAATGTTAAATCTTCAAATTCTAGGGGCACTTAACACTCAAAAATACAAAAGCTCAATGCAATTTATTTCGTTTCTAAGTGGAAAAATGTAAATTTGCTTCCATATGGTGGACAACAGGAAAAGCCTATGTATTTGTAATGTATTAAGTTCACTGGGCTTTTATGGGCTTTTTCACTAATTTTCAGTCTAGTCCTTGTATCTTATTATCCTCAGAGAGCCACTTAATGCTGACTTTGTCCTAAATCTCAAGGGATTCTCCAATGTTGTCTCCACATAACTGATAACATCACAAAGAACCAATTTCATATGCTCTCGTTCAGCACTTTGTTACCTGCAGCCTTTCACAGAATCCCAGAAATTCAGGAAACTGGAGAAGTGGGGGACGTAAAAAACTAGATTAGCAGTATGTGAAAGTCCTTAAGAAACGAAAAGAAAAAAAAATCCAGCAAAGAAGGTCCATCTGAAAAAAGTCTGTTTGGCAGTAGCTTAATTTTTCAGCAAGACAAACACACTGCAAGTCCAGAAAAAGTTTTCCTTCGCATCACAAATACAATAAAATGCCATTAGTCATGGACAGGCCTCCCCGCTGCCTGGACCCAACATCAGGGAAGCAGTGTGGAATCGTCTTGATAGGAAATGGAACAAAATTAACATCCAAAGAGGAGCTTTGAATATCGTTCAAGAAGCCTGGACAACTATTCCCGAAGACTGCTAAAAAAAATGACAAACTGATAAACAGTTAAGGCTGTCTTTAAGAACAAACGTCGTCATACAAACTATTGACTTTTACAATTATTAGAATTGCACAAACTCTGTTGTTGCCTTATATGCTTTATTTTCATGCATGTTTGCACATGTTTCAATAATTTGGTGCAACCACCTTCCATTTTCCTAGCAAAGCGTAAAGAAATAGGGGGTGACTCAACTTTTCTTTAAGGTGAGTATCAAGCCCGGTGTCTAGCAACACTTGGTCACGTTTCGGATACAGTTAAAACGTCTCATAAAAGGACCGCAACTACTGAACAAAGGAAACGGTGCTTGTAGAGATCATGTGATATAATCGTAAACTCCAAAGCTAATTAATAGCTAAACTAACAATAACCAAAAAATGCAGAAAAGAACTCATGCCCGTTTCACTCTCGTTGAGCAGTGTCTTCCTCTGTTCATTTAAGTGAAAACTTCTGGAAACCAGAAAATTGTTCCTCAGTCACCTTTAAAGTTCAGCAGCTCTCCTTTCTGTCAAGCTTCACTAAGATCATTAGTCTCGTTTTTCCATCAACTAATAAAAATTCATGTTGACATGCTTGTTTTTCCTGACGCCTCAGGGTGTCTCCCTGTGTAAATGTACTTACGTATATGGTGCCTCCATGTTCTGTATTCTTACCTAATGTTAGTTTATTGCCACACAACAGCGTGCCAGTAATAACTAACCGTGCAGCCCATTGGTGGGGCCCATGTTTATGGATGTATTTTTATGACCCCTTGCTAACCTTTTTTTGGATGTTAACCCTGATGGACGGCTACCCTTTGATGTCTGCCTTGTGATGACGCATTTTCCACCCTTTTGCAGTTAAGGGCGGTGATCTCACAAGTGATTGTGCCTTCTCGCTTCAAATGAGTAGTGCAACTTTAGCATCTGTGTTCAAATTTGGGCATACGTTTTGAACCACACGCTCATATCCAGATAAATCTAGAAACACTTTGCTATGTAAACATTATCAGCCCAAAGTATTGTTCAATGTTTTGGCTTACAACTTTTAATTTTACAGCTGCAGATCGGAAAATGCTTTCTAAAAAAACAGTTTTTAACAGCTCTCTTGGCTCTGTCTAAAAGTTTTTAAAAAAAATCTGCCTACATGTATCGGAAACAGTCGGATTGTCTTTTTTTCCCACCGGTTGCCTGAGTTTAATAGACAAGATATGATTCGTTAATTGTGTTATATACTGACTGGCACACAAAGCCTACACAACCAGTAGGGGTGTTTTGTCCTTCAACCAAAAAATAGTGGTGCTTTATTAGATCATAGAAATATATATATATCAAGAATGAAAAGAGCAAAAAAAAACCAAACAAACTCTTGATTCTTTTGCTTTGATGTAGTTACTTATCTAAGGTGGAAAGGTTTTTTTTTTGTTTGTTTGTTTGTTTGTTTTGTATTTGCTTTGTTTTATTCTTTGCTTCGAGCCCTGTGTACAGGAGCTGCATGCAAAAAGATCTTTTGTTAAAAGGGTTGGCGTAATAAGCAAATGCTTCAGCCAATACCTTTTGATTAGCCTTGTCTCATGCTTTCTTGCTTTGTGGTAATCTTTATTCTGTCTTCACTGAGATATTTGAATGCTAATCAATAAAATTAAAAATAAAAAAAAAATCAAATCATTTCATACCCCGTACACTGTTGCTGCATTGTAGCTCCTTCACTACTGTGTACAGTATACAATCTAACATTTAGAAATTGTTCAAGATCTGTTGTCTGAGCAGTACCAAAGACTACCGCTACAGTACAGTACTAAAGAGTGGCTGCTCCTGGCTCATCTGTTTCTTGTTTTTTCTCATGGCTCTTCTTGTGTTGAATTACCATCTATTTTATTTTAGCAGTTCTCTTAATTTTCTGTCCCAATAAAGTTACTCAATGTGACCACACAAAAGTTGTGCCTTTGTTGCTGCTTGCTGTTAAAATTAAATTGAGGCTGTTTTTAGTCTGCGGATAGCACAGGCACTGGAAATAATGCCTCTATATTATCTAAATTGCCTTTGAAATTTCTGAAGTCGGTTCCCACTTAATTTTTCTTAATTTGATGGGTAAGGCTCACTTGTACTGCATGCAGAGCTGTTTTTCTTTTAACAAGACCAGCTCCGGGGATATGGCTCTGCTGTGGTGACCAGGCAGGTACTGAAGCATAAAGTCATGCTTCAAGAGCCAGATGTCACATGTTTGCATGGCACATTGTGCATCCTAAGAGTTACGTTTTGCAAGCGTACTTCACATTTTATTTTATTTATTTTTTATTTGTGTTCCAAGTGAACAGAAGTACAACTAATCGAGGCCATTCGCTTTCCCCAAATATATTATGTGACATTTTGGACCATCCTACAGTAATAATTTACTGTGGTCTGTTCTTTATCAAGCTCATAGAGCTAATGGGAAATCTGAAGACCCTTA